CTCGAATGGACTCCATTCGAGAATCTGACTGGTCAGGAATTCTCGAACTATGATGGATCCAGGTTATCCCCTCACTAATATTTTGTTCATTCATATATTTAATCTTATAAATTGTTCTTGCCCTTACAATGCTTTTTGCATTTTAATCCAGCTGAATGGTGGGAGATATATGGTACTGATGCACCTCACCTAAAGAGGATAGCAATCAAGGTGGTCTCCCAGACATGTTCTGCTACTGGCTGTGAGCGCAACTGGAGTACGTTCTAATGGTTACACACTACTAGGAAAAATCAACTCGCTTCTAAGAAGCTTCATAAACTAGTCTACATTCATTATAATTTAAACCGCCGAGAGCGACAAATAAGAAGGAAGCTTGAAGACTATGGGCCGATAGACTTAGACACAATATTTGTTACAGACACAGCAGACCAATGGGTAGTAAAAGAGGTGGAGCTAGTGTTGCACAAAAGGCGTTCCTTGAGGCTATCGGTGAGGAAGATCTTGAATAAGGTGATGAGCATCATGAAAGAGGAAGCAGTCAGCCAACGTATCCACAATTCGTCGGAGATGTCAGTGATATTACACCTAATGAGGAAGAGTGAGAATGGGGTCTAAGGGAAAATGAGAGAGATGATGATTCCGAGGCCACCCTATCCCAGCAATATTATTCACATATCGAGTCTCAATAGCAACAGGGTAGGGATGAGCACGACAGTGTAGGTGAGCATGAACGATGGACAAGCTTCAGGAATTTTGGATTGATAACACAACAGAACACTAACACTCAGGGATTTGGATATAGTCAGACGCCTGCTAATATTGATGATTCATTTTTAGATCAAATCAATGAATTGTCAAACGAATTCAATCAATGGCACCAGCGTGACCAAGAAGAAGAACGACGTCGTCTGTCATTTTATTTTTAGATCATATGTTACTAATTGTATGCTTTATTGTAGTCCTGATATACTTATTCAATAATAATTCTATGTTTATCCTTTTGTGTGACGTAAATTAAATGGTAAATAGTAGTTCATACAGGGAAGGAACATATCAATATTCGCATATTCATGCAAAGAAATGAAAATTATTAATAAAGTACCCTTATTTTTTATTGAATTCCTAAAAAAAAATATTTATAATGAATTTTAATAATTTTTTCGGATTTTTTTGAAGCTTTAATCTGACCGATTCACTCGATTCCTGATCCGAATCCGGATCGTCGATTTATCGATCCGGATCGATTTTTGAGGTGCCTGATCCGAGTCACCGATCCGTTTTTTAAAACCATTGGTATTGGGTGAATTTGGATAAGTTTTGAAGGGGATACGGTATGGGTCTAGCTAGTTTGGAATACATGCATAAAATTGTACCACAGGGTCTATTAATTTTGTTGTGTTCCCTAAGACTTAGAACCAAGATTTCTGGAAATCCTATCGGCCAAACACATAAGTCCAAAGCTCAAGTTCAAATTCATGATAAGCATCCCTCAATGCCCCAATTTTGGGTGCCAAGCTTGTGGACCCAGTTCGTAAATTTCTTCCCTTCTCCAAATTTCACCATCTTTTCTTGCTTACTCTGATTTAAATTTAATTTTCATCGACTCTGAACGGTTTTAAGGTGAGATCTAAATCATTGATTTTTTATTCCCCATTAGGGAATAAACAGTTTGGTGCCCATCATATGGGCATGGTCAAACATAGGCTTCAAAACCATCTAATTTACAATGGTTTGTTGTTCTTGACAAAAGAAATTTCTTCGGACCTCAAGTGTAACCTTAGTACTTTATGCTCATGAGACAGCTAAGGGTGGCAATGGACCCGGACTTGACCCGAGACTTGAGGGGTAGATCCGATCTGGTCCTGGATATAGATACAAAATTAGACCCGATAGGTTGGATTCAGGTTCAAATATTGGACCCAAACAATATTTGGGTCTACGTCTGGGTCCAGTAATATTTTTCGGGTCCCAATATGTAAATACATTTAAATATAGTTAAATACGTAGATATTTTAATTTTGGATGTGGTTTATATAGAGCCGAGGCTCTAAACAAGATCCTCTATTTTCAAAACTTGAATATATTTTTTTTCTCATTTTCATGCATCTTGATGTCGAGATGATCGATTTGAGGATATTTGAGCATCAAAAGAACCTTTTCTAGTGAAATTTTTGAAGTGGGCTCTAATTTGATTATTTCAAGCCTCGACTCGATATAAACTATTTCCTTTAATTTTTTAGTCGAGTCGGGTTTGGGATCGAATCCCACACTATATTTTTGGGTCGAGGTAAACAGAGAGTATATTGTCTATGATTCCACGGATGCGGTGTTCCTGTGTACAAATTGATTGGGTACGTATGAAATGTGCATTATTACATGAAAAAAATAAAAGATGCATTGAATTCAAAATATACGTTGTTTGCATATGGAATTTCTACCATTCCATTTTCATGATAACACAACAACACTTGGACATTTAAAATAGGTGTCCTTAAATCCCTCGCATGAACCATCGATTCCAACGTGCTTAAAATTTACAGATATGGTCCATTTCTTTTTAAACAATTCCACATAAGTCCAAATATTTTAGTTAGAAAATATCTTACATATGGTTAAGGTGGTCCAATCATCTTATTTAAAATTTTGATTGTTGTTTTGCAAGTTTTATTTTATTAAGATATTTTTTAAAACAATTTATTGAAAATGACCCAATTGCCACTATTCAGGATTAAAATTTTTGAACAAATAAAAAATCTTTGTAACTTAATCCACTTAGGGGGCTTGAGCCAAATGACCATAATAACTCTTACTTGTTCAGGATCCGCAACATGGAACAAGAGTCTAAAACTACCAAAATTGAGTTCCATAGTACTAACTGGAGGCATTAATGTAGTTTGGCAGTTCCATATCCCTAATCTTCGACAACCGGGAATATTCTAATCATTTAGCTCAGGCCACTTTCGTAGTGCCAAATTTACAAAAATACCCCTAGCAATTTAATCATATTTAAATATTTTTGAGGTATTTAACTTGAATGAAACTAATAAGGTAATCACCCAAATATTGAACTACTATAATGACTTTGTAAGGTTGTTTGCCGATTTATTTATGATTTCAATTTTAAGAATTACAATTTAAAAAAGAAAACAGAACAAGTGTTGATTTATTTAATTAAATTACACTTAGAATAGATTATTGTTTCAAAGTAGTGGAGTGATTTCATATAACGGATTTAAAGTAATATAATGAAATGCCCCTTTAAAAATCATATTACGTGCATTTGATTGGCCCCAGTTCTAAGCATACAACTCTCATTATTTTGATGAGCATTCTCTAAAAAAAAGAAAATCAAAATTTAGAAAACACACCTTAAAAAAAAATTTTAACCCAGTACACATAGGTTATCTATTAGATGGGATGACTAGATCTAGGAGTTAGAGGGATTCTTTTTTAACCCAAAATTTTTAGATAGCCTTATCAACATAATTTAGAAAACAAATGAACAAATGGATTTTTATGTTCATAAAGGTCTAGATCTAGATGTCAATGTTCATTAAATAGAAGATATGGATTCAATGTTGGAGAGCAACTCGTTTTGATCTCTTCATTAGTGCCAATTCAATTTCTTCTTTTTAGATTGATTTTTGGGATAAAAAGAGTGTTTGTGTATATTATGTGGTCATACAAATGCCATGAAAATGATTTTTTTAAAAGAATAACTTGGTTAAATTTCAATGAAACAGTGAGGTGAAATCACTCCCCAAATAAATAAAGCCAAAAGATATTTTACTCCCTCGGGAGTAGAGTGTTCATTTACTCCCTCGTGTAAAACACCATTAGAATTAATTTCAGGACCCCAAAATTTGAAAATATAAGCTCTTCAAACCATAGATTTACCTCAATAAAAAAAATCCTAATTTCACCTTCTATGCACTTGAGAAAAACTTATGTCTCGAGATAGAATAGAGACCATCAAGTTTTTAGATGGTGAGATCTAAGATTTAGAGGGCTCAATTTTATTTTATTTTTATTTTTGATAAAAATCATCCAATAATTCTCAAGTAATTACCAAATTTTCAAATTGAAAAAAATCCTTGCAAGTAGGTCTTCTAACGAAGGGAGTTACATGCTCATAAATAAAATAAACACCCATAATTTAACATTTCGAGATATAATAGAGACCATCCAGTTTTTAGATAGTGAGATCTAAGAGTTAGAGAACTCAATTTTTATTTCACTTTTTCACAAAAGTCATCTAATAATTCTCGAATAATTCCCAAAATTTCAAATTGAAAAAAATCCTCGCAAGTAGGTCTTCTAACCAAGGGAGGGAGTTACATGCTCAGTAAACACCCATAATTTAACGGCCTCTAAGCAATAATAGAGATAGAGTCCCCTGTGAATGTGACCAACCGTATGAAGAGCAAATGAGCGTGACGAACCTTGGAAAATCAGCCTACAACATTGAGATTTTGATTTAGGTTATTATGGTCATGTAATGACAAAAGTTTAGCCAATTTGTAGTAGATAATGCCAACCGTTGGATTAAAACGTGGACATATGGTTTAGTGTGAGCAAGCCTCATTTTGGAAGAAATTTCCTATTCCTGTCAAGTATTATCATCATCAAACCCTTCAGCTTTATTCTAACTATTTGATGTCCGTTTTAATAAAATATTAATTATAATATAAAATAATAATAATAATAATTTTTTATGTTCTTGTGCCATCAAAAGAAGATCATACTCTATTGCCTATGAAAGATTACTTGAATATGATTGAGATGATAAGTACATTATTTTGCACAATAAATGTATTTACAACAATGGGACTCAAAAGCCAGATGGGAATCCATCCTTTCTAGCATCACTCACAGCAGTAAGCATGCCATGAAACACTCGATTTCGACCAACCGATCTTCGTTTTAACATAGCAGTAGTTGGGCGCCGAAGATTGTGAACAACCATTTGGCATATACCACCATTTTCCATGGCCTGTAGTTCATGACCTCTTTTCTCTAAAAATAACTTTGCTTCACCAGATAGCTCATAGTGCTCCCCATCAAGCACAGTCCAATTCTCATATGACACCTCGTTAGGTATCAGCTGAAAAACCAAAAAAAATGCAACATCAAGAAACCAAGCATTATCAGAGCAACAACCGAAAAAAAAAAAAGGCTGCGAGCCAAAGTAAAAAACAGCGAAGAAATTAATTCAGGGACCTGGTGATAGACTCGCGGATGTTGGACAGCAGACAGAGGATCCATTCCAAAGATGAAATGCTTGATGAAAACCTGAACCACTGCAGGAATTGTGAATATCCCATTGCTACCTCCTATCACTCCAGCTAGTTGGCCGTCCTATTCAAAATTTTCATGGACAAGTTCACAGGGTCAGGGCAAAATATCAAATGATAGATTTATTGATAGAAGAAGGAATCATGCCCATTGTGTCAAGAAAGAAGAAGTATGTGAAACACATTTTGGTGACAAAAAGTCAAGTAAAATGAAGTTCACTTTCAAGTTGCGTACAGTTTTTCATCATCAAATAATAGTGCCCATATTTGCGGAAGGGTTAATCCTGGGAATGGAGGATGCCCCAAATGTGTACCACATATACCATTTGCAGGCTGTCATGCTACAACATTTTCATTTGTCAATTGTAGTTACTATTAGAAATTTTCAATATTTGACATACCTTGAGAACAATAAATGGGGACATGGATGACAAGGGTCGTTTGTTAGGTGCGATAAAATTAGCAGGAGCCGGAGGAAGATGATCAGGGGTCATCTCAGTGGGTGTTGAGAAGTCATCCATCTCATTGTTAAGCAAAATTCCGGTAGATTGCGAGACCATGCCACCTCCAAAGGGAGAATTCACAGTGCTAGTCATTGAAACTGCATTTCTATTGGCATCTACTATGCAAAAATGGCTTGTTCCATGGTCTCTGAGCTGACTCCACCTGCAATTAAGGACCGACTGTTAGAAGAAGAAGAAGAAGAAATAAAATAAGAGGGTAAAGAAAGTGTTTTCTCTCACTGGTTCATGTAATAGTCGGGGGGAAATGTGGTGTTATCGAGAATTCTCTCACGAATTTTTGATGCAAATTCTGAGGAAAGCATATCAAGCATGCAAGATGTAACGTTGACAAAGTTTGGATCTCCCAAGTTCATTCGGATAGCAAACATGTGTTTCATAGCTTCGATTAGCCGGTGGAGGCCAAGATCGCCCTTTGCCGCATTGCTATTACCATAACTGGCAAAAATGTTCAGGACCTGACCAATAAGGGCGCAAGAACAAGCGCATCACAGACAACAAAAGCACAGCTGTACATAAGAAAGAATGAACATGAAGAAAGACTCTCAGTTCTTAATCAATGTAACTAATTAACAGACAAAATGGAAGGGGATGAGAAGCAGGGAACTGGCATTCCCTTTCCCTGTGAATATTCTCAGAAAAATGAGAAATGGTGTTCCATCAATGCCTCTAACCATGTAAACATAATCCGCATATGCCTATCTTGAAACTAAATAAGAAGCAAAGGAAAAATACCAGAGATAGCCCCACAGCTCCACTAGAAGGAGGCGGCATGCCCAATATCTCATGCCCAAAGGCCTCGAACTTCACAGGCTCACTTACTTCAACCCTGTAATTCCTGAGATCATCCATCGTTATAATCCCTCCAGCCTTCTTTACGTCCTCAACCAACATCTCTCCAACACTTCCATTATAGAAAGCAAGAGGGCCATGATCTGATATAGCCTGAAGCGCTGCCGCAAGCTTCTTGTTATAACAAATCTCCCCTGTTTTTAGAAGCTCTCCATTTGGTGCAAAGATACTGCGTAGACCAGGGTTACCCATAATTTTGCTCTGAAATACTAGAAGCTTAGAGCCAAGATATCGAGCAATTGGAAAGCCATCTCTTGCCAATCTTATTGCTGGTTCTACAAGTCTCTTCCATGGAAGCCTGCCATGTTGAAGCCATGCTGTGTGAAGGCCTGCAAGCTCTCCTGGTACTCCCACGGCAAGTGCACCATATTTCTTGGCTTGCTCGTTGTTGTTGTACATGTCCTGGTTTAAAAGAACAATGCTAGTGCATCAGCTCAAGATCCAACCACATGAGCATAATCAGACTCTAAACCAGCGACGATCAGACACAAAAGTATTCTGAGAACTGGGAATTTGATCACTGGTACGCATTAAGGAACAATACAATCTGAAGTGGAGTGGAGAAATTTGTATGATGGACAGATGTGATAATGTTTTCTTTGTTTTCTTATTTGTTGATGTGAGATGGCTTTCAGTTTGGCAGAATTTTGTCATAGTGAGCTTAAATTCAGATTCTCTCTTTCACACACACACTAAGCCGGGCCAATAACACATTGCAGGGAAGAAAACAATATGAGGCATATGTAGTATAAACAGTACACTACTTGCGGACTTTACATCTGGTTCTCAACAAGAGATGGTTGAGATCACCCAATCTTACCAGTATGTGCTTCGGAGTGTTCTTCGTTTTGGACAGAAAAATGAAGCACTTCAGTTTTTTGAAAGATTAAGAGGAAGTTTTCAGTTGTATCTTTTTGACCAACAATTTTGGAATCCAATTTAAGAATCCTCATTATTTTCAAAATATGGAATTAAATTTTGAGGGTTTCTTTTTTTTTTGGATAATTCAACGGCGAAGACAAACCCTACCCATTTTTCAAATATAAAATTCAATTTTAAGTTCTGCAACACTTGTCAATTTCCAAAATTGGAAGGTCCCCTATTCAATGTGGGATGTTACTTAGAAAGCCCTACCTACATCTTCTAGCTACATAGAGTGCATTATAAATTATTTTTTTCTTTATTGGATGTGGATGTTAGTGACTAGGTTAAACATGTTACATTCCCAATTGTTTGCTTGTTTTTTTTTTTTTTTTTTTTTTTTTGACAACATACTTCCCCAAAATTTACATCTTAAAAATACTCCTAGACTATTGTATAATATTTACAAAAATAATATATGTTTATATAATATTTAATTCATATATTAGACAATAAATTATATTTCAATAATATTTGCTAATAATATAGAAATAACATTTTATATAAATAATAGTTTATTTTATATTCTATTATATTATTTTAAATTATATCATATTATATATTTTATTATTAATATATTTTTTATTATAATACATAATATTTAATTTATATAATCGATAGTTAAAATATATTATATTATATTATGTTTCATATTTAATATAAAATAATATTTAAATATTTACTGCTAAGTGTTTACATTTTTTTTTTTTTTGAACTATAACGTACGCCTTATCATTAACTCATATGTAAAATACAAGATGTTCAAACAAAGACACAATATTACATAAATGAAGTAAGCAACAGAGAGGGAGTAAGGACTCCTCCTTTGGCAAGAACATCGGCATCTCCATTCACCTCTCTATAACAATGTTGGACCTTTGGAGTAAGGACTCCTCCTTTGGCAAGAACATCGGCATCTCCATTCACCTCTCTATAACAACGTTGGACCTTTGCCTTAGAGGTCGATAAAATATGCCAAATTTGATAAAAGATAGTCCTTAATCTCCAATGAATATGCGCATTTCTCTTACTCTAGGCTTTGCCAAGTCTCCTTCGATAATCTTGCCCCCTTTCAAAGTGCATAGCAATTTCAACCCTTCTAATAAACCTTGTGCTTCCGCCTCATTTGCTGTTGTGATACCACAAGGACCCGAGTAAGAAAATATAATGTGACCCAAATTATTTCTGATGAGTCCACCATAGCCAACTGGCCATGGATTGCCAAGTGAACTTCCATCAAAATTAAGTTTGAAGGAATTCACTTGTGGTGATATCCAAATAACATCACTACGAGTGTTGGTGGTAACACTCATAGTCGCCACTACCACGGAATTGCTAATGATAAGACTTTTTGGAATAAATCCATTGTTCCTATGTGCAAGGAACCAATCAGCTGCAACTGTCAAAATATTCGATTTTAATGTCGACAGATCTGTACTTATACTATCAAATACTTTTTTATTTCTTTCCTTCCACACATTTCACAGAAGGCTAACCCAAATAGATCTCCAAAGAATAGTTCCCATCTTTGAAATATCAGTTGTGATCCATTGATTAAGAAGAGCTCCGATATTTTGGGGCAAAGGTGATGACAGATTGAGGCACTGTCGAGCCCAATCCCAAAGATATGTAATAAAAGGGATAACTACTGCGAAGTTTTATCACTGTCTTTGCATAAGATACATACCTTGGTAATAATAGACCCCATCTTTCTCAAGTTATCAACAATTGCTAATTAATCTTGACACATAGATCCATAAAAATAACTGTGCTTTAAGAGGCACATGCAATTTCTAATAGTGAATAAACCAGTATTCAAGTTTCTCCAACGATCAGAAAATAATAGATTGTAGGTTGACTTAACCGAAAAATCTCCCGAATGGGTAAGATCTCAAATAAAGCTATAATCCATATTTGGAGTCAAATATGTGTCATTCAATAATTTCAACAATGTCTGATACTCCTCAATAAATCTGTCTGTACCTCTCTTGTACTTGCAAGGAATGGACCAAATAACATTAGTGTAAACGCCCCCGCTAGCCTCCTTGACAGATGTTAACAGGTTTAAAGCTTTTGAGAAAACCTCAGGAAAAAAATATCTCAACGGGTCATCTCAAATCCATTTATCAAACCAAAAGAGAGTGGATTCTCCATTTCCCACTATTTTTTGGAATTATCGTAGATACACAGATCTCTCATATTCAATACCTCTCTAAACATATGACAAACTTGTCTTGTTTTGGACTTTTAATGAGGTCAAAGTTCAAATCCATTCCATATTTATCTCTCAGAACAAGTAACTAGAAAGACTCATATTGTATATGGATCATTTACCACAATTTCATTCTCCTAATACCCAATCCCCCCCCGCCCCCTCCATTGGTCTTCAAACTTTTTCCCAACTCAACGGATGAAATCTTTTCTTTCTTATGTCATCTCCCCTTAAGAAATTTATCACAATTCTCTCTAGTTGTATTTCAACTTCTTTTGGCATCTTAAATAAAGACTTAAAATACACTGCGAGGTTAGACAAAGTGGATTTAATCAATGTATATCTTCCCCCAATAGAAAGAGTTTTAGCTTCCGAGTGTCCAGTTTCTTGTCAAATCTCTCCATTACAAGATCCCAAATTAATCTTGAAGGTCTCAAATCCACTAGGGGAATTAACAAATAAGTTCAAGGTAAGGACTCAACACCACAACCTAATAAATGTGTCATTCTTGATATCACTATTTGCGGACAGCCAATACCAATGAGCTTGGTTTTACTCAAATTAACTTTAAGTCCAATAGAGATTTTCCACACTTTTTAATAAAATCCATAGGCAAGTGATTTCCTTAACCGTGGGATCACATGATATAATGGTATCGTCAACATTATGTAAATCTGATACTATAAGACCATTATTACTAATATTAATGCCTGATATGATCCTTTGTACTATCAATCCATTAAGCATGACACTAAAGCTCTCAGCTACCAAAGTATATAAAAATGGTGAAAGAGGGTCCCCTTGTCTCAATCATCTTGATCATTTGAGAAAGTCAATTGCTTTGTCATTAACAAGAACTGAAAAATGGGTAGAAGACAGGCAACCATTAATCCATAATCTCCACCTTGAACGAAAAGTCATTTTAGCCATGATATTTTATAACACGCCCCCAATCAACCTTATCATATGCTTTCTCAAAGTCTGTCTTATAAATAAGACCCGGTTTGTCATCATTGATTCTTGAGTGGATATATTACTGTGCAATCAGAATATTATCCATAATTTTTCTATCTTTCAAGAATACTGATTGTGGTCTTTTAATATCCATGTGAATCACCTGTTGCAGTCTATTAACTAAAATTGTTACTATGATTTTATAAAGACTACCAATAAGGCTAATAGGCCGAATATCTTTGATCTCCGTAATGACATTTTTCTTTGGAATTAAACCAATAAAAGTGGAATTCATAGCAATATTAATTTTACCCCTCCAATAAAATTCTTCCAATAATTGAACAATATCGTCTTTCAAAATATCCCAAAAAGGTTGAAAAAAAACCATTGGGTATCCATTTGGGATAGGAGCCTTATCTCTACCTTGGCAAAAAACTGCTTCTCTGATTTATTGCTCTTCAAACTTTCTCTCCAACCACTGAACTTCTTCTAACAACAACCTAGTAAAAGGTAGATCTTGAATGGATAGTTGAATCTCACTATTGTCCTCATAAGACTTCTTGAAATGATCAACCAGGACCCTTTCAACCTCTGACATGTTGTCACAGTGTATTCCTTCAATACCGAGGCTTTGGATTGAGTTACTCATTTTCCTTGCATTAGCAATAGCATGAAAGAATCTAGTATTTTTATCGACATCCTTGAGCCATTGTACATGAGATCTTTGTCTCCAATAAATTTCCTCCAAATTAAGCAACTGTTTATACATAGCCACCCATAAGCTTCTGTCTCTGAATTGATCTTGTGTTAGAGCACCTCTCATAAACTGAATACTATCTAACTCCTCTATATGAGACTTTGCTACCCAGATTTTAGATTGTAAATCTCCCCAAACATTCTTTTTCCATATAATAATCATTTGTTTCAATAATTGAAGCTTTTTTAAAATTTAAAAACCTTTCCAACCATTAACAATAGTATTTTTCTAGAAATTTTCAATCAGGCTGAGTAAATATCACTCTGATAGCCATGCCAATTCAAATCTAAACGAGGATGGTCTAGACAAAAAACCGTCATAGTTAAGGAGAAGAGGGCCATGATCAGAAGAAATTTTTGGTAGGGCTTTCACACTTATTTTTTGGAAACGAGTAACAAACTCATAAGAGACAAGAAACATGTCTAATCTCGTCAAAATAGGATCCTGTAAATTATGATTGGATCAGGTATACTTAGCTTCAGTATAAGCAAGATCAATCAATTCATGGTGCTGTATAAAACCTTCAAACATTCTCATGCAATAATACATAGAAGGAGA